TTTGATATCTCTTGCTACCCATAACAAAGTCTGTGTCCATGAATTCTATCTTTGGGAAAGTACATGTTGACGTTTGTGTTGGCCATCTGGTTTTGATTCACTTTGTTTCTCTAGATGTTGTTCTCATGATGAAATTTCCACACACACATATCTACATTTCACCTTTGACTGTATATCCCATCCATATCCTAACAGAACCTGCCCCACACCTTGGTCCCAATCCACCCTTCTACTGGCCCTGGAAGGAGAACTAATATAGCGCTCCTTCCAGAGCAAGCAGAAGGAGCACCAGAAGAGCCGTTGCATGGCTCTTCCGTATCTCTTCCAGCTCAGCCCATGCAGAGGCTGGGCCGGGAGGACGTCATTGGAGTGCTCACCGTGTGCAATGTTGGGCACTCCATTGACATCCTTGGGAAGTGGTTGGGGCATCTGGCTGCCCCTCCCCTTCCCTGGTTCCAAGATGTTGCTTTGTGCGATCTACAGAGCCCCTTAGTCCAACACAAACCACTATGCCACATAAAGCCTTTAGGCCTCCATTTAGCCTATAGTTTGGCCTAAATAGAAGCATGCTAGGCCTGCAGCCTTTAAGCATTGTACTATACAAGCCACTGCTGGGGTGGGGTTGGGTTTTTCAGGCTTCAACAGGTACAGGACTTAGGTCACATCTAAGCTATAAAGCTACTGTAAGCTTGGTTTGGCCTTTAGGCCCAGTAAGCCTGGTTTAGGTTAGTAAAGTACTGGAGCTTTTGTTTAGTCTGAGTACTAGACTAGGACAGTTGTCCTTGTCATGAGTTGGCTATAGAAAGGAAATGGAAGACCAAAAGGAAGGGTCCAACTCAGAGGCAATAACTGAAGCATCTTCCTTTGGAAATAACATTCTCACCAGAGGAAGAGGAGACTAGTACTTTGGTGGCCATTTTGGCCAGGCTAAAGACTTTAAAGAAGGTCAAGGCTCCACCTAAGCAGTTGCTGCCACTTCACCAGAAGGATGCAGGTTAACCAAAAAAGAGAGATTTGCTAATCAAATATGGGCTCGTCTTGATGCCCAGCATCAACAGGAGCATGAAGGACCTTCTACAGCTTTGGACAGTGATGATACAGCACTTGCAGTTTCATTAAGTAATGTTAGTAGATTGGCAAAGACCTTGGAAGCACCTCCACCATGCTGAGGATTCTGACATGAGTAGTGGGATCTCAGGAAGTTATAGTTTGTCCTAGGAACTTGCAGTACTCCTTGGGGACATGTTAGTAGCTCAGAATGGGTGGGCATGGGGCCTGTTCTACAGCCTGATTGGAATTGGTGTCAACCTCATTGGGCTCACAACACAAGCATAGTGGAGGGCAGAGATTGGAGAGCTCCAATGAGGCTTATAATGAGATTCCTTATTCAGCTATCAGTTATGGTTACTAGATTCTCCTTTTGGGTGATCACCTCATTCATTACACAAAAGATATGATACTGTGGGTTGAATATGTGGATGTTTTCACCCTGCTTTGCTGAAGAAGAAGGACAAGGAGGAGATGGATGACAAAGAAGAAAAAAAGAAACTAAAGAAGCAAATTAGGGTCTTCCTTGCTCCAAATATATTTATAGTTAAAACAGAGAGGCCCACTTTAAATCTCTGTGTCTGGTCTTTTTATTTCCATGGTTGGTCAGAAAATAGTAAATTTGTAGGGTTTGAATGAGCCCTGGTGGCACAGTGGTTAAATGCCTGTACTGCAGCCACTTACTCATAGACCACAAGGTTGAAAGTTCATACTACCCAGGGCTCAGGCTAGACTCAGGCCTGCATCCTTCCGAGGTTGCTAAAATGAGTACCCAACTGTTGAGGGGCAACGAACTTACAGTTGTAAACTGCTTAGATACCCCGTAGCATGGTATGAAGTAGTATATAAATGAAGCTGCTTTTTGCTTTGAATAGCATAGCATGTCAGACTGCATACAAAATTGCATAGACAGAGAGAGAAAAAGATTTCAGAGAAGATGGTGCTAGTGTAGTTTTCTCCAAGTAAGAATTTGGGTGGGTGTGGGTGGAAGAAATATAATCTGTTATGCTACTGTGAGACCCAACTTGCTGTCTGATCTACTAATGCCAGAATTGACATTTATTGCCCCAGTAAAAATTAACTCAGAGACAATGTTTGATAATAAATGTTAATATGAATCTTCAGACCAACCTAGATTGATGATTTCTTTGTAAAAATAATAATGATCAAAAACCATATATACTCAACTATGGAACTAAGCAGACAGCCAATTGGGCTGTTTTGGGGGCAGGGAAGGGGAGGGGCAGCTGCACGATTGGTGCCCCAACCCCTTCCCCCGGTCATCCTCGGAGCAGCCGGCCCTCCACAGGGCCGGCACTCCAAGGAAGACCTCCCGCTGCAGCATCCACACACGCTGCAGCGGAAGAGTCACCGAAGGTGTGCCACAAGCTTTTGCAGCACACCTTCGGCGACTTGTAAAAGGAGCACCAATTTAGTGCTCCTTTCCAGGGGCGGTGAAGGTGCGCCGTAGGGCTGAGATGTGGGGATACCTTGGCCCCGTGGTGCAGCTTCCCGGGGTGGCCCATGACCGCCCGTCTGCTTCCCCCCTATATGTCAACCTCATGTATAAGTCAAGGGCAGGTTTTGGGGCCAAAATTATGGATTTTTATGTGTCTGTGTCTGTCTGTGTGTGTGAGCAAGTGAGTTAAAGTACCGTAATTAAGTTGACTCAGTTTTTTGGGGTCATTTTTTCAACCTAAATTTCTAGTTATTACATGCTTATATACAGTATATATTGTTTTACTCTTATATACACAGAGAAGGGAAGAGTATTTAACATAGGTAGCATTGTAGTAAGTGAAGCAGCCATCAAGAATGTAGCACAATATCTATGAGTGAAAACAGAAGCAATGCTTATCAAGGTGTTTTTTTTTTTCCTTTCAGATGAGGTCTTCTAAGTGATTAAAGACATTTGTTTGTCATAGCATGTGATTCCCATTTTCCAATGCATTTAGTGTGCTTTGTCCTGTGAGTTGACATTAGAAGATGAACACAAGTTTAATTTGCAGGTCTCTTTGCTGTAGCATACATCCTGAGGAAATCCTATTCTGGGAGAGAAGAAAAGGTACTTTTAGGGGGTGCACATTTCTCCTTATTGTCTTATTTGACTGATAGAATGTATGATTGGGGGAGCTGATATACAAGGACAAAGAGTGGTTTTATGAGTTGTTTGTAAGTGGTTATTGTCATGCACATTTAATGTAGACTACTCCAGGGCCATTTCTAATGCACTCCAAGATTTGAAATGTTCATGCACTGTTCATTATTAAGATAAGGTACTGTGGGGAAAGCAAAGAGCAATTCTGGTAACTGAAGTCCTTTGCTACAAACTAATTCCTAGAATAGGGAGATGTAATGTGTAACCCTCCAGATATTGTTGTCCTGCAATTCCCATTATCAGTGACTTGGATGCTTTCATGAACAACACAAACAGATTTCATTCTGCTTGCCTCTCATGTCTTATACTCTAGGATCAGCTTACTACAAAATTTAAAGGGTTTCTAGCTTTTCTCACTAGTAAACTCCCGTACCTTTCACAAATAGTCCAATATTTTCCATCAGAAAGATGGAGTGAGAGGAAAAATGTCACCTCACAAACTTTGTCTGCTCTGTAAGGTGCAGAATCTCTGCCAGAAATAGTAAAGATAGCCACACATTTAATACAAACCGCACAGAGAAGGGATTTCGTTTATCTCTA